CACTATGAAAATACGAGTCAGAAATGAGGAGGAAAATGCTCAGTACATTCATAAAAATGGCAAGAGGGGGGAAAATATTGAATTAGCATTATAAGCAGAAGATAAAATACCTTCATCAGCTTCAGAATATTAAATCAGAATAAAATATTAAATAAAGTAAAGAAGAACAACGCGTATTAAAATATTAAAATCATACCAAACAGTATTTTCATTTTATAATAAATATTTCCCAATACTTCCGTTATGTTCACAGAGAAATCCTATTGGCACAGTACCGAAGAGAACAATAAAAAGTGCAAGAATACTATGTTATAAGTGATAGTAATAGCAAATATACGTCATTTAAAAGAAGCAGCAGAAATTTTATAGACCTGAAAAAATACATATAGAACAAATTCCATGCATAATAACAGCTGAACTGTTGAAATAACCATAACATGAATCAAAACGCTATCTCAGTTGATTAATTGATTATTTCTAATCTGTTACAAATTTCTAACTTGTTGGATTAACTATAAAATGCGGTAATACAAGAAAATTAATTCTTAATTCATGAGAACGTAATTTCGGAACACTGAACACATTATTAAGGAAAACAATATAACAGATGAAATGTTCCAGTAAATATTGATGTTTTACGTATAAAATATTGATTTCTATATGTAAACAATCTTTAATTTCATCATTATAACTAAAAGCACGCTTAATTATAATTTTCGGATATAAAAATTACTAAGAACTGTATGATATAATGTAAATAATGAATAAAATAACGATATAAAATGATAATAGGATAAAAAGTTATAAAAGCAAAACATGATGTTTACGTAATTCATAAAAGAGGAAAATAAAATGTTATAAGAGCAAAACATTGATGCTTACATATTCATAAAAAGAGATGAGAACGTTTCTTTTAATTTGCAACAGTATCACTTACTTTCATCAGAATCATTTATAATAATAATAATGCTTAATAAGTGTGTCCTTTAAATTCGAAATTTTACTGAAATGGCTAATGATCTGCCTATTTTTTTATTTTTAAAATTGAAGTTTAGAAATGTAAACTGTTACAAATGTATTATATATATATATATCTTTCAAAACGAATTTTGACTCCATTTTTAAGCAAGCTTTGTTGCAAGCTCGTAATTTTGTAGCAAAAACTGATATTGCAAGCCTTTGTTTAGAATAATAGGTATAAGTTGAGCAAGAATGCTTTTTGGCAAAATTTGTAAGGTTGGACTTGTGGAAATTGTGACATAGAGACTACGTAGCTCTGGGAATATGTAAAACCTTCTTATAAATACGAAACTGTACCTTTACTAACTTTTCTAAAAAGACATTCAAATTTTGTTTCGTTTTTAATGCTATATACACAAGCTCTGTTGTACTTTGTGCACCACACACTTATGGCTGCCATAAACTAGAGATTGGTGAGTGAAAACGTATACAATATTCTACAAAAAATATCACTGAAAAACATTACTTAGTTGATAAATTAACTAAGCAATCAGCTAAGTATAAACAAGTGTAATGCAACTGACAAAGAATAATACAATTTCAAACTATGAGTATAGCTATGATAATATTATTTTCAAATAATAAACTTCCAGTTTACAGTTTTAATATTACTGTTTTTCTTTCTCAATTTACTTAAGGGTCTTGAAAGTGAAATACAAAATTTACATGAATGCACTTAGATTATTTTTTTTCTTATTATTTAAATTATTAAAATATTTGTATAAAATTTAGTTCTGCTATTCTTTGCTTGTGCTCAAAAATACTAAATAATAAAATAGTATACAAATTTAGTTAACATTTAAATTTAATTAAAACAGTGGACAATACGAAATAGCAGTTAGTAACTAGAAGTTCAAGCTGTATTACGTTCTTTCAACAGCCTCACTATTTAGTTAACTTGTTATATAACAAAGACTAGATTTATATTGGGAATGGAGCGGCAATTTGATTTACTTGTCGAACTGACACCCAGGAAGAGTTTTGGTATTCTTCCCCCAGTTATCTGTATGAAGTCCTAATGAATTCAATGAAATTAAAACCCGTTAAAGCTGAGTGTTTGACTATTTGCTGTTAACGTTTATATACAGGTAAAAGTACAATCCCAATTATACAGACTCTAGATATTCGGAATTCTAATTACCTGGATTACTTGTTCTGTTTTCTAGGCTAAGTAAAATTAAATTTGTTCTTATTTATTTGCGTATTACTCCTTTTTGTCTCTGACTTTAATCACATAAAAATATAACAAAATAATAGTTTTCTTAAGAAACTTTTAAATTAATTTAAGCTGGACGTATATAATTCGTTCATCAGAATTTAGTGAACAGCTTTCTTACGTTTTCTAGCGTTCAGCGATTATGTAGCCTACGAAAACTAATAGAAAAGCAATATAATATATAAGCTCAAGGTCTGTGTTACGGAAATCATAATATAACTATGCATAGATAGAGTATATCTTTTCAGAAGTCAAACAACAAAAATCAGCGTTAATTTGCAAAATTTTCACAGGACTAGTTTCGATGGTTTTACCGAACCATCATCTTCAGCTGCAAAACCGCAAATGAACAAGATAGGAAATAATGTTTACATAAGATAAGAAAGCCTGGACAAAAATAAGCAAGTGGCGCCATCTGTTGGCGAAACCAGAACTAAAACATAATTTCTCTAAAAGCCGAAGGCAAATTTGGATTGGAATTAGGATCGTTAACTAGAACAGAAAGATTTTTATGAATGTGAAATGCCTCTAGAAAATCCAGTTCTCCAATGGAAGATGTTTTTTGAATATTTTGGGCAGCAGAAAAATTGAAAGTGTGATTTTCGGACCAACAATGTTGAGCAACAGAAGACTTCTGTGTTTCCTTTTTTCTAACATATGCTTCATGTTCTTTGACACGAAATTTTAAGGCTTCTCTTAGTTTGGCCAATGTAAATTAAACCGCACTGGCAAGGAATCCTATAAATACCCCAGGAATTCATATCCGGAATGGGGTCCTTGAGTATAGAAGTTGGAATTTTATTGATGGGAGAGTAAACAACCCGAAAGTTAAATTTCTGCAAAATATGTGCAACTTTATAGCTAAATTGATGGAAAGAAGGGAATGACAACAGAATTTTTATAATCTCCTAAAATAAGAGTGTGGCTTTTGGTGTGTTGAGATGAGAATTTTTAAACTGCTTGATTAATAATGTTGGGTGAAAAGCCCCTGTCAATAGCTATTGCTTTTAAATAATTTAGTTCTTCATCAAGGGCCAGTTTTGGAGGAGCAAACTTGAAGAGCACGGAAAACATAGGAATAAAATGAAGCTAACTTTTGTTTAGTCGGATGACATGATTTAAAGTGTGGTGGAAGGCAAACCGATGAAGGTTTACGGTAAACTGTAGTACTGAAGTTGGATGTGTTACGTGTGACCAGAATGTCGAGAAACGGAAGAGAATTGCAAGTCTCAAGTTCAAAAGTGAACTGAATAGCAGGATCAATAGAATTCATTGTTGAAAGAACTCTATTTAAATCATCTTTATTACCTTCAAACAGGGTAAAATGTATCGTCTACGGGGGGGGGGGGGGGGGTGGGGGGGGGGGGGGGGGGGGGGGGGGGGGGGGGGGGGGGGGGGGAACCATGCCGGGAAGTTTAAAGTTTCAAACAATTTTGATTCATAATAATGCATGTAGATATCAGCCAGGATGGGACTGAGGGGGCTTCCCATGGCTAATCCCTCAGTTTGCTTGTAATATTTATTTTGGAAAACAAAATGTGTTTGTTTCAAACAGTTCTCTCACTCAAACTCTGTTTGAAACAAACACATTTTGTTTTCCAAAATAAATATTACAAGCAAACTGAGGGATTAGCCATGGGAAGCCCCCTCAGTCCCATCCTGGCTGATATCTACATGCATTATTATGAATCAAAATTGTTTGAAACTTTAAACTTCCCGGCATGGGTCCGCTACGTAGACGATACTTGTACCCTGTTTGAAGGTAATAAAGATGATTTAAATAGAGTTCTTTCAACAATGAATTCTATTGATCCTGCTATTCAGTTCACTTTTGAACTTGAGACTTGCAATTCTCTTCCGTTTCTCGACATTCTGGTCACACGTAACACATCCAACTTCAGTACTACAGTTTACCGTAAACCTTCATCGGTTTGCCTTCCACCACACTTTAAATCATGTCATCCGACTAAAACAAAAAGTTAGCTTCATTTTATCCTATGTTTTCCGTGCTCTTCAAGTTTGCTCCTCCAAACTGGCCCTTGATGAAGAACTAAATATTTAAAAGCAATAGCTATTGACAGGGGCTTTTCACCCAACATTATTAATCAAGCAGTTAAAAAAATTCTCATCTCAACACACCAAAAAGCCACACTCTTATTTTAGGAGATTATAAAAATTCTGTTGTCATTCCCTTCTTTCCATCAATTAGTATAAAGTTGCACATATTTGCCAGAAATTTAACTTTCGGGTTGTTTACTCTCCCATCAATAAAATTCCAACTTCTATTACTCAAGGACCCCATTCCGGATATGAATTCCTGGGGATTTATAGGATTCCTTGCCAGTGCGGTTTAATTTACATTGGCCAAACTAAGAGAGCCTTAAAAATTTCGTGTCAAGAACATGAAAGCATATGTTAGGAGAAAAAAGGAAACACAGAAGTCTTCTGTTGCTCAAACATTGTTGGTCCGAAAATCACACTTTCAATTTTTCTGCTGCCAAAATTATTCAAAAAAACTCTTCCATTGGAGAACTGGATTTTTCTAGAGGCATTTCACATTCATAAAAATCTTTCTGTTCTAGTTAACGATCCTAATTCCAATCCAAATTTGCCTTCGGCTTTTAGAGAAATTATGTTTTAGTTCTGGTTTCGCCAACAGATGGCGCCACTTGCTTATTCTTGTCCAGGCTTTCTTATCTTATGTAAACATTATTTCCTATCTTGTTCATTTGCGGTTTTGCAGCTGAAGATGATGGTTCGGTAAAACCATCGAAACTAGTCCTGTGAAAATTTTGCAAATTAACGCTGATTTTTGTTGTTTGACTTCTGAATTAGTATTTATTCGGCGTGTTATTGTGTCTTAGAGTATATCTTTGTTTATCTATGCATAGATAGAGTATATCTTTGTTTACTGCATGAGTTCTTGCTTATCCATAATAAGTTTCCCCTTTTCTCCAGTTTTTCTTTTTATAGTTCTATTATTTCAGCTCAATAAAAATACTGTACTTTTAGTTGAATACGAACATGTTTTGTTTTACATAAATATAAAACTAATTTCATTGTTAAATTTTGAGGAAAAATAGCGTTTTGTAGCTTATTTTATTGAAAAAGTAATATTTCTTTCATTAACTGAATAATCTTTATTAAAGTGAAATATGATTTATGAAAAACTCGAATTACAATGAATAAATATTCAAAATAAAATCCAATTATCCGGACTTTCGAAGCATCCGGTTAAAGTTGTGTTACAGCTCGGTTCGGATATTTGGAGTGTTTCTGTAACAATCTAGTCTTTGCAAAGTAGTAATTAAACTTTACATCGTAATTTGATTTCGTTATTTTGCATGAACTGTTGATTTTAATAGTTTTAACTAATTTCACTTCTGTTGCGTTATTTCCTCGCATGAAACTCTTGCCATTCTCTCCCAAAAGAATTCACGAAAGTTCAGTTTTGTTACGGATGTTTGTGTTAAATTTTTATACTCGTAACGCTCTGTAAAAAGTTCGCGGAACGTCTTATGAACATTGCACTATATTACTGTATCGAAATTTTCAAAACTTTTTCAATGAAAATAATTGTTATTAACACATTTATAAGCAGTGTATTTAAAGGTAGTTAAATCAGATTCAAAGACATAATTTGGTCTGATTCAAAATAATTAAAAAGTGGCGTTGTGTCATCCATTATGCACATGGTCTTCAATCCACAGATCTGAGTTGTCAGATAGACACTACAGACTGAGAATGTTTTTGATTGTGCAGTTTATGGCATCCTTGGGATCCAGAATATTACGTTTTTAATTCTTAAATTTCGTTGCAAAAAATCTATATTAATTTAATTATCATATTCTTGAAATCTACGTATAGTTTGACTAAATTGATGTGTAAGCATGCAGATGTATTAATTAAGATTGTAAAAGTTTAAGCTAACTTGCTAACTCAATATAATATTTAAAATTGGTTTATAAGGTCAAAAGAGCTGAAAGAACTATTAATTAGATTTTAAGATTCCCAAAATTCTTCTAATGTATTGATTTAGTGCGTTTTCTTCTACTTCTTTTAATCATAATGTGACCTAACGTTTAGAACAATCCTGATTTTCTGTTGCAAAGTTCTCCTTTTTAACTATAAAGTTTTGAGTGTAATATACTTAAAGTAATAATTTAGAATATTTATAAAAACTATACATTTTTTGCCATCTAGCTGATCAGGAATTGATCCACCGATCAGGTCTGGTCACAAATAAAAAAAATTCCCTGTTTTCGGAATTTATCCAAATTATTAATCAAATATTCAAAATAACAACTAAATCATTCATAAAAATTCTTGACTTAATTATTAGGCTATTAAAACTATATACTGGAACAGTTTTTATAACTTCTTCATGACTGTCACATTATTCAAAGAAACCTTTAGAACGTTGCATAGCTATAAAATACAAAATTTGTAATTCTACTGGTAACACAACATATAAGTTCACGTTTAAGTGTAAGAATGTGCATAGGTTACCAATCCGTAGCAGTGGTGTAACCAGACTTTCAAAGAAAACAGAATCGGGTTACTTTAAATCTTACCTGGAATGAATATATTTTTTTGCATATTACTTATGCTTATGACTTTTATCGTACTGAAAATGATCTTAGCCCATCTCAATTTTCTGATTACTCCACTGGCGTTAAGTCTGTTTGGTCGTGAAGTTTAATTCTTCCCCTTTCCCAGCCTCCTTTCAGTTGCATATATTTAGTGAGTGTAAATATACCAACCATTAACCATTAGCAGAGGTAAAAACAATAAACAACTTTGAAGTTTTACAATGCTCTTTTCATAGCTCTTTTATCACTGGATGCCGGTGTGTTAAAAGATCGTCATCAAATGAAAAGTTGAAAGAAAATGCCAAATATGTTGCACTGAATGGACTTGAACTCAAGCGATGGCGCAGATAGTGGACTCGCTAACGTCAGCTCCTTTCTCTTGTTGACTCGGATCTGCTTCTTTTGGATTTTCGGCGGGAGAATTCAGTTGCCGATTAGCTGACTGGATTCTTGCCAAGAGGTCTGCCTTCCTTGATTCCATGTCTCTTGCAGCTAGACCTTGCTGTTGCTGATTGTGCTCAGGAAAAAAAGCAAACATACTCTGTTGTTTTTTCAAAAGTTTATGTTTGGCAAGTTTAGGCTTAGGTTGCATGCTGAGAGGATCGGATGGACGTAAAATGCTACCAGGCAATCTTCCTTTGGTGCCATCCCACACACTGCTCGAAGACGAGAAGGGCAATGGCTGCCGCTTTACATCATCCAAGTTCAACAAAAAGTCGTGCTTCGGAGAAGCAGATTTTAAATCCCAATAAAGTGAGTCAAATGATTGTTCTCGCTTCAGATTTCCTCGTAGTAACACTCGTTTTGGAAGTATACCCGCCGGACCTAAAGCAAAATAGCGATATCATTACGTACATATTTTTAATAATATTTGATAAATTTTATTCGTAAAAAGGATAATAAATACTTTATGTTAGTTAAGTATTTTTTCTTATTATCCTTAGAAGTAATTAAACAAATTCCAATCTAAACAATACATTTTTTATAAGCATTTATTCATTTTTTATATACATAGAACTTCAATTTCTTTGAAGATCTTTTAACTTTATTTCCTTAATGCTAACGAGACAAAATCATTTAATGCTAAATGTATTATAAGTTATAACTAATGGTTATATTATAGTAACTAAAATTTCTTATAGTTTTTGCCCGGACTGACGTTTTTTTGATATTAACAGGATGAGCTAAAAGAAATGGTAAATACTGTCTTTCTTGATATTATTGTATTAAATCATATTTTAGTTTACTATTAAGAAAGCTTAAAAATAAAGGAAAAAGATGTAAGCATAGAAGTAAAAGAATTTAATTAAAATTTAATATCTGTGTATATCGTGCAGAAGGAAGCATTACACGGAAGGTCTCTGAGCTTGGAATGTTCAAAACTTCTGATAAGATAAAATGCATATGGTACCACTCATTCTAGAAATGCATCATGGTTAAAAATTACTTCTTTAAATCGTTTTAGATGAAAAATTAAGAAAGGGAACTCTTTTAAATATATTTTACTGTAATAAATTTCAGTTTTTGCTTGCCTTTAGACTTAGAGAAGAATTACACATGAATGATCGAGAATTAAAAGAACAGCTTTTATTAGAAAGATAGCTTGAAGGGTTTTCCTTTATTTTTGAAATAGTTATTTTTATTTGCAACAAGTTTTAACTTTACCTTCCTCACCTGCATTTTCCTGCCAGAATGAGTTTTCAGGTCTACGATTTATGTAAATGAAGTAGAAACGAGTATTTAAGCTGTGCTGCAGTAGAATAGCATATTCTGCTTTTCGGCCACATTGTTGCTATTCGTCTAAGTTTGTTTTCTACGGCCGTACCTGCTAATATACGTAGGTGATCCTTCAATAAGGGCCAACTACGGAAGCTGATTTTGTGCAGAAAGACCGAGAGGAGTCATTAGTTAATTCATTTTGAGTTAGAATAAAAGAGTATTTAAAAACCTTCTTTGGACTTGTTGCTTACGCACAAGAACTCAGCGAATAAACGCTATACAGTTCTTTAGTACTCTAACTTCCAAGGAACTTTTTTGGCTAGGATATTACAAACTAATTTATGGTAAAATAATTAAAATACCTATTACGATGTTTAAAGTTACTGACAGTATAAAGAAATTACACAATTCACATAATTCAGAGTGGGAACAAATATATTTCAAGTGGTAAATAATTGTCTAATAGTCCACAAGAAAAGTACAAACATTTCTGAAATTGAGATTAATTAATAATTAAAAAATTAATAATTAAGACTACTTGTATTTACCAAAGAGTTTTAGATCTTCCTGTTGACCAGGAAGCATATCCAGCGTGATACCTTTTGCAGGATTGTTATGAAGACGTAAAATTGGCACCGAAGAACTTTTTGCAAGTTGCACAACCACTTGACTTAAATTAAAACTGATAGCAACTGACACAAGTTGAGCATGAAGGTCCAGCATGCTAATCCGATCTCCAGTTTGGATGTTCCACAGCTGTATTGTATTGTCTGAAGCTCCTGAAAGCAATGCAAAAGTCGTATTTCCCAGAAATTTATTCAGTAAATTGATACAAACTGAAACAGCCTTTTTTATTATAAATATGGTATTTATGTTAACGACAGCAACAAACTAAGTATGGTAACAATGAAGCAACTTTCATTGCGAGGGTCTTTGTTTTCTAGAATAGTCAATAATTAATAATACAGTTGCCGTTTAAATGAATAAAGCTGTCAAAAGGTAAACTTCTTTTGAGAAGGAGAGCTTTAGAAGATTAATTTGAGTTACAGATACGAAAAATAATAAGAATAAAAACGTTCCTTTGTTCACAATGAAAATCGCATTGTGTTTTTATTTACACACTAAAGACTAATAGTACTCGCATCGGAAAAATGTTAGATTTTTCAATCTTTTCGACCATTATGATATTTAATAGCAGGCAAATATCTTGGTAGTCAATAGCGATTAGTAAGTAGGCAAAATATATCCTCCATCGCTTTTTTGTTAAAGACGCAGAAATTACACAAAATATGAATTTCTTCTATAAGAACTTATTTTGTACTTATTTTAACGCTTACTTTAACAAACTACAGATTTTTCGTTTCGCATGCGGGAGACTTGAAAGCCAATTAATAGAGGAGAATTGTATTTCCTGCAGATTAAATGTTTTTGTGTATCAAAAAGCAATAATCAGCAGATTCTCACTTCTGCTATAATGATTTTAAAATTAATATAAGAAAATAGATATAATAAATAATTAAAAGGAAACATGAATCTGCAGAGAAGTTAAAATATTGTTCGAAGCCAGAAAATGGAAGAAATCCACAATGCCCTCGCCGAGACTCAAATTCCGGACATCCCGATTACCAGTCGGACGTGCTTCCAGTAACACCATAAAGGCAGGCATTAAATAAGGAAAACTTTTTACAAATCTAGTTTTTAGATTTTTTGATTAATAGCGTTTCGTTAGTAGTTATTGATGAAGAAAACTTTATAAATTAATATATATATATATATATATATATATATATATATATAATATATATATATATATATATATATATATACATGGTAAATTTGATATAGCTACTTATCAAAAAGTATTGATACTGGTTGTACAAAACACAAAATGATTCAGAAAAACTAATTTATCAGTGCGTTTAAAGGTGAAGGTGCATTTAACAAATCACAATGATTTCCGATTTTAATTCTTATTCAACTGCAAAAATATGCTTTTTTTTTGACATGGCATCAATGAGAATGAATGAAAATGAGCGAAAGAGCTTTTATTTTAAGAATTAACTCAAAATGTTTATTTTAAAATTATTAATAAAAATTAATTTAAGAACTGAAATTAAGTTACGTAATAGAAGATTTCATCAGAAATAATTATGACTCCTAGGCGAGATAATAAAAGTCTAAGATAAATGTAGCTAATTGATCAGAGTTTGGTCTCCCGGAAAATAGAAATACGGTTCCTTACAGTAATTCTTTTCTAGAAAGAAAGTACGTTTGCAAGTCCAAATGAACCAGTTTATTAAGCTCGTGAATCCTGTGTCTTAGATGTTAGAGATGGTGCTTAGCGTAAAACTTTGCTACGCTCAAAAAATATTATGTCATATCCATAACATTCCTTACCTAGCCTTTATTTTTACAAACATTGATCGTAGACATTATTTCCAATTATAAAAATGTTTTCAAAAGGCCAAATATTCATGTTTTGTCATTTTTACATTAAAAAATCAATTTAAAAAAAATTATAATTTCTAACTTTTTATGCAGACTCCTCTGTCTCTATATTTATAATTAGGAAAATTTCATACACATTATAAATAATAAGAAACAAAAAGTTGACTTACAAAAAAAGTACGATAAAAACTGGCATTAAATTGTCAAAACTGGGATATTTGACGTCTTTTGGGACTTATCTTAAGGGGTCGTTTAATAAATAAATTAAAGTAATTCGAGGTTGATTTTTCCGCCATTCAATGATAACCTTTTGTGATTTGTAACATTTTGTGATTTTAATTTATAATTTTGTTAAAACTGTTAAGCCAAAATAATTTTATAAATGTTCAAATGCTAAAAGTATTTTATTAATATTCTCATGAAGATTCGTTACTTTAGAACCAAAATATAATAAGCATGCAAAGCAATTAATTAAATTAGATATGCTTAAAATTTCTAATTTATGCAAATAATTTATGCAAATAAGAGTTGGCAATGTGCATATACGGAAATCAGCCAATATTTCCAAGCACATGAATTATCCAGGGTTTCGAGAACAAGACCTCTTTTTTGAGAACGAATTATGCAATACTTAATCTAATAATAACAGAAATCTTTTTCTGAACTGACACTTTATTTTTAGTAACGCACAAAATTATAATTTCTGTCTTCTGTTTGTGTAAGACCTCTGAATGTTATCTCAAACTTTAAAATGAAATATCTCGGTCAAACTTTGTCATGCGGATGTCACATATTCTGCATTTTATTTTTCATAACGAGTATAAATTTTTCTTAAATGTAAGTATAGAGACCGAGGGAATGTATTAAAAGTCAAATTTCGTATTTTGTACAAAACTGGTATCGCAGATTTAAAAACGCCAAAATATAAATAATTATATCATTTAAAACAATTTTATAACTGGAACTATATGTTTCCGATCAATGGCTGCAAAAATATAGGCCGGGGAAGAAATTTGTGGACAAAGTGTATGTATAGTGCAGTATGTTTTGCAGTGCAGTCCAACCGGGGTAGTGGTTAGCGACGCTGACTGCCGCACCAAAGGGCCCGGGTTCGAATCCCGGAGAAGACATGGATGTTTGTAAATGTGTAGTGTCTGTGCGGCATGGGGACATTCTAAATATGCGGCCAGCTGAAAGTCTTATCAAGAGGTTGGTGATAGGGAAAGAGGGGTGGGAGACTCTCGGACCTGTCCCTCCAGAGTGCTCTCCATCAAAATTGTGGGAGGGGGGTACTGAGTAAAGTTGTACTGTCAGCTGTATAGTGCTCAAGGCTCTTGCCAAAGACAAGCGCAATCTTCCGTTCCACGCCGCGATGAATTTCGTAGGCATGTTCTGATGTTCCTGTCAGAGAAGTAAGATAAGTCACAACAACATGTTTTGCGATTTAATATGGGAACACAGGACAAGCACGAATACATATGGGATGCGTAAGGATCAATGAATGAGAAATTTGTCATCTAGAGTTAGTATAGTATTCCTAGCAAATATATTAAGGAATACAGTCTGCGTTTAGAAACTCAGTACCTAGGAACGCAAACGCAACGTGATAAACGAAGTTAAATCTAGTATATATCTAGGTACAGACATATAATATTATAGATGCTGCATTGATAAGGATACGTTTTCATTGCACCACTCAACATGATGAACATAAGAATTTATTTTTATTGTAGAAAATATAGCAGCATCTTTTCCCTCATTGCTAGCAGAGTTTTCTGGTCCGTTAGCCAGGTTCCAAATGAATGAATATGATCCTGTGACGCTGTGGGGTAGGCAGACTTTGTTCATTTTTCTTCTGATAGGATCACAAATGTCATCAGCGTAAAGAGCTAGAGGAATTCGGTTCCCATAAATGTCGAGTAAGACGGGAGCAATAATGAGACTTGTAGTACGGCAGAATAAAATTGCTTGGCAATTTTAGTATACGCTTCTAACGTGGTCGGTAAAATGTCTGGCGTTAAATAAGACTAAATGATGCTTTTAACATCCCATAGCAAATCCAATATTCGAAAATGATCGCTTCATGCGGTCGGAAAGAAGTTGGGTATTTTTATTATGAATGTTTGGCGTCTTCATGTTGTTTTACTCTCAGCACGGAATTCCAGATATTTGGTACGCTGATGAAATATAAATAAATAAATAATATATAAATTAATAAAACTGAAGAAAAGGCATTTTTTATATGAAGTGAACTTTTCCTATTTGCACTACATTTTCTATTAGTCTGTTAACTTTTTTTCCATCCAAGAACTTACATTTTTAGATTTCCACGTTCACCCAAAACACTTTCGATTACAATACTGTAATTTTAGAGTTTATAGTCTAACATCTCAAGGAGCTATTAAAAATTTTTTAAAAATGAAAAAGTAGACAACAGGTTAAAAAATGTGAACACAGTCTCACAAATATTACTCATCTCTTCATAAATAATCACATTATCTACTCTTGCAAACACTTTTGGATACCAATGATAATGCTCCTAAGATGTAGAGTGAGAAAAGTTTACAATCCATTAAATTATAGTATATTAGAAACTCACCTTATTTATGATACAATGGTGTAAAATACGTGTTTGTCGTAAAAATATTGTTAGGTAACTCAAATTTTATTCACTTTTTAAATCATTAATGCTGCACTAACGAAATATTTTACGTATTCGAAATCTGCAACAACGTCATGCAAAATGATATTAGTAAACACCTCGAAGAAAAAAAGAGATAAATTTTATTCCAGTCTGTGTAACAACGCGGGGTTAGAAACATCTGTTACCAATTAAAACATATCTGAAAATGCCTCTACAATTATCAATTGGATATGTGATATATTAAATATACCTTCTATGTATTAAGATAAATGACTAAGGAAAGTAAAATGACGATTTAAATGATTGAAAATGTGTTATTCCTTTTAAATCGTTCTTTGTTAATCAATAACAAACGAATAAAAATTTGAAATACAAATTAAAGATTTATTCTCGTAATTCTCTATGCATATTTCACACACGCGCACACATTAAAAAAAACGTACATCTTTAGCAGTCTGATTCTTATTTTTGGCACCTCCCCAAAAAAGGCATTTTTTAAAATAAACAATATTTCCGTTTATTGGTAGATAAGTATTCAAATGCTGCTGTAATATTCCCACCTATATACAATGTGATACACTATTTTGTGACGCATAATATATGTGATGTTTACTACCTGATAGTACTGTGCAGCCATCTGGTGTAAGCGCCACACATTTAATTGAGTCTGTGTGTCCTCTGAAAGTCAAGTTGTCGTTTCCTGTTAGCATGTCCCAGAAGATGAGAGTGCAGTCAGAGGATCCTGAAACCACTGAAGACGGACTCAAAGGAGCGACAGCTACGCAGGTGACTGATCCTTCGTGACCAGCCAGTACCTAAGATGTAAGAAAAGAAGGAATCTTAAATATTTATTTATAGATACTGAGCTATCTATATTATATAACACCAAGTAAACCCACTGAAGTATAGTAAAACTCGAAAGCATAAAGTTTATGGGAAAACATTCTATAGCTATCTATAATCGTTTTGCACTAAATATAGAAAAGCGCAGATAAAAATAGCTACACGGATATCTGTTGCATAATATAATTACATCCAGTACAGGAAATATACATGTAATATACATAGTTTTTAATGCAGTTAACAAGCATTATACTGAGGTACGAATCAATAAAAAAAGGAGGACATTTTATGATATTATTATTATATGCAAGGTTGAAAACCAGCAAAAAGTGATTTATTCATGTGATAAACTATAAACAAAAGTTAATATTCAATGACAAATTAATTCGACTGCAGCTGATGTGGACTCCTGCACGCTGAATAATAGAAAAAACATCCACAGAAAAGGCAGATCGATTATGGGTGGGCGTCTCAGAGTAAGTAGGTTTGCTGGCGGCTAGCCATAGATCTCTCTCTAAGCTGAAACTTCGCTCAGTACTTAAACCTCAACTTTAATTTACATTTTGATTGATTATTGAGGGAAGAAACACTAAAAAGGTGCAAAAAAATTAACATAAAAATATTATGTTAGCTAAAATAACTTTTCCCACTTACGTTATTATTATTATTTTTCTTTTAAATTTTTCATTTGGGTATATAAATGATCGGAGACATTTTAATTGATTTAAAAAGTGCCGAAGGAATTTCAGATGTGGAATGAAATTATCCAATCTTGAACAGGCAATGCGAATAAAAGTCTACAGGGTACTATAAATATGAAATGCGAGTATCTTTTCATTTTTTGTTATTTCGTCACCCTACCCATGAATATATTTTATTGTCCAAAGGGCAATTTGCTCAGAAGGACTACTAATTTCGTTTTGCCATTTTGCGTCTCACGAAAAGCGTTGTTTCATTTTTCAAATCATTGCCACCAAATATTACTACTCTGTATTGTATTTAAAGATATTAAATAATAAAGAATCTGCATGGGTGTATGTATGTTTCTCGCACTGTAATAAAACAACGGTACCTAGAGCCATCAAAATTTGAATAACGTAATCTTCCATAGAATATGGTCATGTGGAAGCCCTAATTTAAATTTGAAATTTGTTTTATTATCGATTTCATATTTGTAACACTTCAACGAATTTTTGATTAACAAACTAAAAGATTTCAAAGCCAGCAATGGCAACGCTGTATGCGGAAGAAAAAACGTTTTTATCTCCAGCGCGCGAGACTCTGTATCGGAAATTCTAAACATATGCTCATTTAAAAACTATTTTGCGATATTGCTCTTGAACTGAATTTTATAGTTTCAGTATGTAGAACATGATATTTAATAAATAAAAGTAACCCATAAAACGTTAAAAAAAAACGCCTCTTTGGGCGTAATTTAAAATCTGAAACCTTTCTGATTCTAGTTATTATTATTGTTAATTTGTTTGTTTATTTAATATTTTATTTATCGCTTCTTTTTTTATTATTTGTTCTTTACAGTTTTGCTTACCCTACACTGCATATTGACACATATGTGTATTAGTTGAAATTTGACTCAATATTTAACTAATTAAACTGTAGAGACATTAGATATTTTGGAAGCAGGAGATGCGAAAAATGAGCAACGCCCTCGCCGGGAATCGAACTTCGGAGCTCTGGAATACGTTCCCAGCGTGCTGACCACTACACTACGAGGACATGCTAAGAAGGCGGGAGGAATACCTTATAAAACTTCTATTATGAGTCTTTTGTACATACTTGTTTTTAGAGTCATTAGTCATTCGGTTGTAGGGTCATTAAGCAGGAGACATGAGAAATCTGCAACGCCCTCGCCGGGACTCGAACCCTGCAATTCTCGAATACGCGTCGAGTATGCTTCCGAATACACCATGAAGATACGTGCAAAAGAGGGCAAAAATACCATATATACTTTTCCCTTTTAAATGGAGACTGGGGATTAGGGGACCTAATCACCAAAAATGGGTGGTGACGAATTTTCGTCTAACACTTTTTAGTTCGGGCACCACATGTAGAGTTATTAGGTTATTTTGAAGAAGAATACGTGAAAAATGCTCGTTGCCCTCGCCGGGACTCGAACCCAAGAGCTCTCGAATATGCTTCGAGTATGCTTCCAATTACACCACGAAAGCATAAATAAAGGAGGGAGAAAATACCTTATATATTTAAATTCTGTAATCAGAATACAGAATATTCAATATGTATTGATAGTCAAACTTTCGGTTAAATATCAACAGTTTTTAAATTTTATTTATTTTAAAAATAAGCTTTTTTATTGACCCATACATGCATCAACACGCACTGGGAAGAAGCAGAGTTAATATTTGAATGCGAATGAACTTGAATTTTAGAATAGATTACGTCTTGATGATGAAGATAATTTAGAATGCAATAATAATAATAATGATCCAAATTAAAACTCTTCTAGAAGTTTTAACAATTAGAATGAATCAAGTGATTTCGAACCTATTTTTACTTCCTTCTACGAAGTAAAGAAAGTATTGTAATCGTGAAAAATTCCGAGTATGATATTTTAACGAAAATATCCATTTTGACAGCTATCAGTTTATAACTTGTTCAGTTACGACTGCGTAATTTTAATTCAATGAAATATTTTAATAGTAAGTCTAGATATATTTAAATTATGTTTTGAATTTGGATTTATTATTAGTGACGTCGAAATTAGTAAATAAAATTTTCCCTTCAGTGAACACTTACTGATTTTCATTAAAAACGATTATTTATTAGCAAAAATCAAATCAATAGGTGAAAACAAACTTCTTTGTTAAAGTAAGGATGAAGTGTTTCGTTTAATATTTAACAACAATATTATGCGTCTCGCTGACATTAAATTTATTTTCTGTAGCTGGCACAAAGGTAGACACAATTTTAGATATTTTACCGCATTCAGGTAGTCATATATTACAATCCTCCCCTATTGTTTGTTAAGAAAATCTGATGCAGTCAAGTTCTGCAGTGGATAAAAAGTCGCGTCTTACAAAGCAGCAACTTAGAAATAGCCAGAATTATTCAAAATGAATGAAAAAATTTTTTAAATCCTATTTGGTAGCCCTGAGCTATCATCATGGAAGAAGTACATTCAAAAGCGTAGATTTCTAAGTTCTGAATAGTCGCAAAGAGGGCGTTCTGCCGAGCTCTGGATGGTCGAGGATTTCAATCGACCTTCATTTGCTCAGAATAGTGATACCTCAGCATTCTGTTCAGCATCCTAACCTTCTGCGTTCTCGCAGACATTGGACGAGAATGGTGGTTTCGATCAAGATTGCTATACTACGAGGTTTGCTCTTGTGCGACGTCATTGACTCCTAGTCTGGTCAAAAGCAATTACTTCCCTTGTGTTTTCCTGTCTTCCACTTGTGTAAGTGACGTCGATGTTAGGAAGAGCCTTGTCTTGTTTGTCTATTGACTTTTATTTCGACAGTATCAAGAGACAAGGGATGTACGTGTAAAGAAGAAATTCCTGGACCAATTGTGTATTTATGAGGAATAGTAGAGAAAATAAGAAAAGCATTTCAGCGGATACTACAGAAATCTTAGCTAGCTGTTTTCAACCAATTTGAACAACTGTTGGACAAGAATAATAACTGTATTATCAATAAAATATTTCTTTTATGGTTAGAAGTAGCTCAATGAAATGGGTTCATTCTTTTTGGATAATCATGTATACAGAAAAACATGAATTAACAAAGTTGTCGAACCTGAAAATTCTGGCTTACAGGAACAGTTACCTGCCAATTACCTAAGTGAAAACGTAAAATTATTTTTAATTCTTCCAAATATCAGACATGTTCCACTAACAGGCTAATTGAAAAGCAAAAAAATTAACGATTCTAAGGCATTATTTGAAGTGTTAGTTACTTGGGTTAATTTTCCTGTAGCCACCTCCCAGACTTTCAAAGACATGTCGTTGGAACCAGTGATGACCGTTGCGCAGTCATGAGTCACAGTATAGCACAAAATGGAATCACTGTGACTGACACTTCTTTCGTTATCGACATCCATAACAGGCCAGAATTTTAAGCTGAAAGTAAACGGATTACATTAAGTTTTTAAACTATAAACATAATTTTGAACACCGGTATAATTTATCTTAAGTATGACTTTAGTTTTAAATAAATGATATCTTCAGAAAGAGAAAGGATTTTTCTGCAGGAATAAAATATTATTTTACTCATTTGAAATTAGCATTTAAGCAGCTGTACTCAGTTACAGTTAAAATTGTTGTTCTGTACTTTATGCTGCAACATGAAATATGATATAAAATATTTCTATAAAATTTCTTTAATGCAGTTTTTACTAAGAACAGCACCGATGCCTAACTTATACATGCTTTTACGTTAATGAACTCATCTGCTGTGCACATTCACAAATATAATCTGTAAAATACTGAATAATTATAAACCAACAGGTTTGACTTTTAACATTTTTAAAAGAATTTCTGTTGTTTCCATGGCAAGAAATTAAAAAGATACCAGATATGTCTATTTGTTAAAAAATAATAAAATACTAAATTTCGCTGACACAGATTACTGAATAAATTCCATTTAAATACAGAAATCACTTTCATTTAAATGAAACTCTATTCAAATTCCATTTAAATGAAATAAATTCCATTTGAAAGAAATCACTATTTTTGAAAATCTTAAATATTATGTATTTGAGTAAAATTTTTATAAATCGAAAATACTGACAGGTTATAGCCATACTGTATTATCAATAAAATATATAGCCATACTACAGGTGAAATTTACCATTCAAGTTAACATGAATCATTTGAAATTATCATTTTAATTCCTTTCATATATAAGATGTAATTATTTGCTTTAGGATAAGTGTTTTATATGCTAAAATTCTGCTGATCAGATGCACTAAGGTTATATACAAATTTTGTTATATTTCAAGTGTTACGTGGAATTAAAGGCACACAATAACATGTACGCTAAAAACAATATCTAACTCTAAATACACTATATGTTCTGCAGAGAATTAAAATAACAATGCTAAAATAAGATATATTTTTATATTATTACTTTATATTCATTATATGATAACGCTAATTTTACGTCAAACTGTTATTTATTAATCTAAAAAAACGAACCAATTTAGCTTTTGTAAGGCTGAAAATTCAAGTAAATTGCGTGATTTGTGTTTTTTTTCTTTTTACATAATCATAATGTAATTTATTATGATTATTTAGATAATCAAGTAATCGAAATATTTTAGATAATCAAAACTATATATAATTCTCAAATATACATAGTTTCTTCATTTGAATAGATCATTATGCCACATGAAAATACTTATTTACAAGACCAAGAGATATTGGATACAAACTGCGTTTTAACACAAAAAGTACAAATCGAACGTAAAATTAGTAAAAATCAGGCGAAATGCAATTTCAGGCACTTCTTGGTATTACATACAAAACAGAAATTGTTTGTTATTAATTTTGTTATTATTAGCTTTGTTTCAAAAAGTTTAGACGAAGAATATAATATCATGTACTAAGTTTACCATCGTCGGAGAATTGCAAAGATCCTAATAAAGGTATACGAAATGTTGTAAAATTGTGTGCTAATATGAGAAATGTTGTAAAATTGTGTGACCGAAATCCAAATAAAAAATAAAATATATGAAATAAGAAAACTAAAAAAAATCTTTTGAACATTGCAGCAAACTGTAGGAAGTTACAAACTGGAAATAATTCGAAAGGAATTGAAATAGACTGCTTTAATAAACGTTTCCTGCAAGTTCTTAACACACTTATAATAACCAAATACTGTAAACGGAAAACTGTTATTAATACTGTAGGAAAGAATAAGAAATGTTACGTAGCTGATGCGAATGGTCAATTCATAGCTAAGCATTTTAAAGTTATCTTACATGTTGTCGTTTTTTCCGCCAACAGCGAACACAAAGTTGCCGCTTACAGTAACTTGAACTATAGGTTTAGTATAGCAGTACAACTGGCTTCCAGTATCAGCAGTCCATAATCTGTGGAATCCTTGACTGTCCGCAGATAGAATTCGCCTGCTGTCTGGCGTGACACTTACGCTCAGAATTTTGCTTTGGTGTTCCTAAATTGAATAATAAATAAGTTTATTTTAAATATTTGGTGTAATATACTTCAATGTACATCATTCTCTCTGTTACATATACATTACAAATTAATGTCTGATTGTAAGCACGATGTTTTATTTAGAAAATATAACTTGCGATGAATAGTTTGATAAAAGGTTAAGAGGAAAATTAGATATGGCAGTAAAATTACTTTATTAATATTTATTACCTGGAACGTTGCTTCTACGAGACCCAAAGTTAAACCAAAAACTTTAAGAGTTGTGTCTTCAGACCCAGAGACTACAAACAAACCATTTGGAGCGAAGGCAACACAAGTCACTGGACCAGAGTGTCCGGAAAGTGTTTCACTGACTTCTCCAGTCGTCAAATTCCATATTTTAAGGAGATTGTCCTTAGAGCCTGAAACATTATAGATGAATAAGTTTTGAATACAGAATAATTCTATTATGATTAGATTTAATTAGCACTTGATAGAAGCAAAAAATACGAAAATTAAAATTTGTTGAGCAAAGTCTTGTCCTTGACTTCGAAAACTCGATGGGACCGAAGAAATTTATAAATGGTCAATGCTAGTTCACGAGGTGAATGCATTCCCATTCTCGACAGAAGATATATAATTTATTTACACAGTTTGTTCTTTTACTGTAGAAAGTCGTGATTATAACTCATCTTTTGGTTCACCAGAATAGATTTATCAATAAACATATCAATTTTTTTTCACATATTGATTTATTTACATTTATAGCAATATATTTCCTAACAAAAGATGGTTTAGCGCTATCCCGAATAATATTAGTTCAAAGTAACGTTTTTGCGCTCTGAAAACTAAACATGCGCACTCTTTACGATGATTTGCAACTATCCTGACTGAACCTGTGATTAATCGCGCATGAAATCACTCCTCAGATTAAAACCATGCGATGTCAGCAGGGGAAAAACGCGAAAATTCTTAATTAATTTATCCTACTGTAGAGTTAAGAAATTAGCAATGGAATTGACCTGCATTTATATTCAGTTATTAATTTGAATTTTAAACAATCATTATTATGAACATGAACAAATTGTTTGCCATTTCATAGCTTAAAAATATTTCGTTTTTGATTTCTTTTATTGGTAATTGACATAGTGATAAGTTTAAAATATCATTATACAGCATCAGAAGCTCCTCCGGACATCCTGCGCATGTTGATCACGAGATATGCATATATGCTAAAGGATGTCTTAAACATATCCTCAGAAGTGTTTCATGTCACATCTCAGGATGTCCTCAATACATCCTCGTTAGGTCTCATCGACAGAGTATGGAATGTTATGAGGATTAAAAGTCCCTCATACCATACCCTCAGGACGTCCTGAAATATCCCGTTAACCTCGACACATCCTCACGAGTGCTTAATGTTACACCTTAGTATATGTACAGGGCGTCCAAATCTGGATGTCGATAACAATTTTCGCAGTTCTTTTCGGAGTTTTAAGAAGCTATATATTAAAATTTAAAAATTCTGTAATATGATATTTTTTATTTTTTGATCTATATTAAAATATTAAATATTTAATCTGCAACATCTCTTCAGGTTTGAAAATGGGTAAAATTCAACATACTATATTCTCCCCTCCCCACGTTATGCACAATACACTTAGTTGTTTGAAAAACCGCACATTTTAACTTTAATTTCAGATCATACTCTTTTCCCTCCTCAGCCAGTGTATAGTTACAATGTCATGTTATTGATTTTTTTTTTTCAGTTTTCTAAAGAAACTTCAGTTAATATTACCGTAACACTTTACTATTTGAAACTGCTTCAAACATGTTAAGGGGAACAATGATATCTTCCTCTATTAATTTTTCAATGTTCTTTTCTATTTGTTGTATACCGCAGGATGTGTACAACAAATAGAAAAGTAACACTGGTAACGAAAAGAAGTTTCAAAAGGAAAAAGGAAACTTTTTGTTTTGTCTGTCTCTATGTATGTATGTACAAGCTCAAAAGAAATTTCGGCAATGTGAAATTATTTTCCATAAGTTCGACAGCAACGTACTTATTATACTACGCGACGTTTAGTCTTTCAAAATCTGCAAACTTACCTGATACGGCAAGAGTGCCATCTCTGGAGACAGCTATGCACATTATGGGTTCGCGGTGACTGTCTACCCTCTTGACTTTCGGCTTTGATTGACTGACAGTTTCACGCTTCGGTGACGTGAAATTCCAAACTACTACTTTGTTACCACCAGCCGTAATTAGAAACGTGTCATTTGGCTGCACCTGTAACGAAATACAACAGAAACAGTTTTACCAAAACACAAAACAAACAAAAATATTCGGTAAAGCTAAACTACGAGAGTGGTATTTTAGTTCTTTTTATATGGCATGTTATCAACGTGGGTTGTAGAACTACAAGTAAACATAGTACGAAAAGTTTTCCGGCAGCTTAATAGGATTACTTGGTCTTTAGATTGATTAGTGTAACCTTGTAGCATATACTGTAGCAATTAGATGCACATTTTCGGAATTGCGTACATTGTTTTAAACTTTCTTTATTTCTTAAGCACGGTAGATTTTTAACGATTTTACGGTGCTTAGAATGGTAACACCTATTAAAATTTGCAGATTGTCATAACACGTGAGATAGCTGCAATACCTCTCAGAACTAGCAGTTTGCTAGGCCTCAAGGGTGAGAAATGAGCCATGACAATGAAGCAGCTGTCATAACAATAAACAAAAATCAGTAAACTACAGAATAAACATAGAAAACTTCTCGATATATTGATAATCAATAATAGATATAATATATCGATCTCGATATGAACCTCTAGCGGCCTATCCACTTAAACAATCAGAATGAAATTTCAGATATTGTTATTTGAAGAGATTGTGATGTTTTAAAATAAAATTGCTCTCACAATTACGGTTACAGAGAAAACACTTCGAAATTTTCAAATGAAAACGCTCACTTACTTGCGCAAATTGATCAACACACTGAAACTGATCAACGCACTGAAAAACCATAAATGGCGATGGATCAATTCACGTATGACGAAAACTGTTAGCATAAATCATTTCAAAAGAAAATAATTTTAAAGATCCAATAACAACACAGAAAAGGAGAGAGAAAAAAATACTTTTATTGGAATGACAAATTTTCAACGTACCCACTTTCACAGATAATAACACATTGAATGCGAGAGACTGTTGATAGCAATGGCGAACGTAACATGGTAGGAGGAACCTATATAACTTTACGTTTTATAAGATCTATCAGTTCAGACAAATTTCTTGGGTTTCATGTCCGCACATTAGGCTTTAGATAATTCTAAAACAAGAAATCCATTGGAATGAGGTTGAGGATCACGGTGGCACTAAAACTGCAAAATTATGGGAGATATTTCCCAAGTACTGTTGTAGCACTTGCCAAACACATGTGGTGAAATTTACAGGAGCATCATCTTGAATCCATACAATGTCATTAACGACATTTCGCGGCAGCAGTTATGGAATCACCTAATTTTGCAGCATTGTTGTACATCAAGCACTTGAGATGGAGAACGATTTTATACCTGTGGAAGTGACCTTTTCGAAGAAGCAGTGAGAACGAATGTTCTTGGTATGCCACATTTCACTTTAGCTTAGTATAAAGGTGCCACATCGTGAGGCCTTTCGTTAAATAAAGTTATAAATAAATTACTAAGATATAATTATGCAAAGTGTGTCTATGCACTTCCTCTCTGCATTGTCAATGGCCCTTTACAATGCTTTTCTTTGCAAAAGTTTTAAATCGCAGTTTTGTCATACGTGTATCGCTGCAATGCCATTAATGATTTTTCAAAGCGCTGAAAGAAAAGTGGGTGTTGCCTTTCGAAAATTTCGAAATGTTTTCACTGTGACTGTAACCGTGAAAACTCCATTGTTTTACATCATAACAATCTAGAGCGCATACCTTCAAATAACAATAGCTGATATTTCATTTCGATTGGTTGAGTGGATAGGCCGCTAGGAATTCATATACCGGAGATGTGTTTTATGACCACCTTGTATATATGTTAAAATATTAGAATATTGCCTAAACGTTTCTCTTCGGAGATGCTATGTTTTCAGTATTTTAAGCCTCATGTAATAAGCTATGGCCAGTTTTAGAGAATGATATTTACAGCAAAATTTTATGTTGCCTGTTTGTAAGCTAATGGTGCAAAGAAGATAAGCTGCAAAATTTATTTCAAAGCATTTTTAGTTTTGCATTAAGGCGTTCATAAAAACAATCTTTAACTGATGAGTGCTAAAAGCCCCAAAAGGCTTCTCAACCCCATATCTTGTCTGAAAAATATTAATTTTGCTTGTAAACAAAACTAAATTAATATTTGAATGCGAATTGAAGAAATTTGGATTCGATCATTAGACAGAAAAACATCTAATCTTCCAATGGCTTTCTGATTATACTCACCCTGCATCTTTCTATATTTTTTTCGTTTTTTCATAAAAAAATAAAGCACAATTCCGATTATCCGTTATATAAGGTACTGAGTTGTGGTTGGGGTATAGAAATAACCTGAAACTCCCGATGATTGGTTATTAAATGAGTTGAACTAAACAAACAATTACATTAATAGCTTGCCGCAAAGGGCATAATTCATTGCCGTCTTAACTTTTTCCTTTATTTGTCTGTAAAATTAAGAAATGAACGAAAATAGTAAGGCGATTAACTAAATAATAACAGTAATAATATCGTAGTTAATTAATACTATCGTAATTACATGATAATTAACTAAATAATTTATTATGTAATTACGATACAGCGCTTTTCATAAAAATTGCGCAGTGAAAAATAAATATATTGCGGTGAATAATAAAGGAAATTGAAACAGTAAACTATAAGTACTTTGTGATGTTCTACAATCTGTATTACTAGGTAAGTAGTTACCGATAAAGACAAAGCTATTTGGAAAATTTAATCAAAGGCAATGCAAAAATAGACTATGAATAAACGCATATTAGAGTGATGATAATAATCTGATAATAATAATTTCAATAACAATAATTATTTCGAGCTTCATAATATGGTGAATTGGAGAATAACAGATAATAGGGAGTCTAGTATAACAGGTGATATAAAGATGATTTTCATATTACATTATCAAAATTAAAATATTGGGAAATAATCAATCATATCAGCTTTTAGTTTTACTGAAAGGATATGAGGAACAGTTTTATGCGAAATTTTATTTATTTACGGAAGCCTGCAACTATACATTCTATAACACAAAAAGCGGTGCACCAAGGAGGAGTTATCCGAATGGGACGAAAATCGGTAGATGTTATGTACTACATGTACTGAAAGCGAAAGCAGTAGCATAGGAACTGAAGGTTTTATTCAGGAAATACAGCTACAACAGTACAAAAATCATTAATGCTGTGGTTTTGATGAAAACTGGTATCCGGCTGGGCACTGACTCATAGATTTGGCGAATGTTCTCTTGCGAAAGTGCTTATCATAATCATTCCATTTAGCGAGTTAGATCGACGGGAAACAAGGATTGTCAGAGAAGACTGTTCATTAGAGTCCAACGCACTCTATTGAGGAGAGTTCTGGCGATCGTGCCAGCCATGGACGTATTGGAGAAGCACGGATACAAGTAGTGGAAAGAAGGGCTGCGTGAAGCCGGACATTAGCCTGTTGAAATGTGAGACCAAGGTTCTGCGAAAGGAAGGAAAACACTGCCGGTCATAGAATCGTGTCAACATACCGCCGTTGTCATAGATGACAATCAAAGGGATTCAGATATCAAATGAGATAGACCCCATACCATAACTCCTGATTGTCGGACTATGGGGCGAATGACAGTCCGGTAAGTATCCACCGATGTCTTGGACGTCTCCAGACACGTCTTCGCTAGGCTTTGGGCTCAGTTCGAAGCAATTTTACTCCGTAAGACTCCATTTCGAATGCTCCCGGCACCACTGCAAATGTGCCTGGCAGCGTGTAAAGGTAAAGGGTAGGCGGCATAATGGCCTCCATGACTTCATCCCCCATTGAGTTGCCTATCTAATTGTCATTGGTGTCCTGGTTATAGGTCTCGGTCGTTGATAAAGGCGCCTCAGGGCGGTGGGCCGAGAGCATCTGTCGCCACTCCCGGCTCACCCGCCTTGATGCTTTATACAGCCATGGTTCAACAGTTCTTGTCAGTATCGTTTTTGGTAGTACTAAAACTCACCTTAGGTCATGGTCCACCCCTCATTCACTTGAGCTGTCAGTATCGTTAAATGGTGGCAATGCTCCGACCCAAATGTCTAGGGATACAGAGATTTGACCACCTTGCTTCTTTTGGTCCAACTGTACGTCCTCTCTGTACATTCGTACATTTCACGAGGGTCGACGAACTACACTCGCAGTTATGCCCTTAGCATTGAAATGTCCTCTGTTTTATATACCATCCGGATACTCCTTTGCAATGCGCAGGAGCTCCAGCTAGCTAAACACTGACCTCCAAAGTTTAACCATTTGTATTTTATTGTAAGGTATGGACATGCGCAATTTTGTCCCATTCGGATAACTCCTTCTTGGTGCGTCTTTTTTATATTATACAGCAGGGGTCCTCACTTAGGGTATTTGATAGTTTCGGGCGGGGGGGGGGAGAAATGTGGTCAGACTTTTATTTAACTGTTAAGTATTTAGTTGTAATTTATGAATATAAAAAACTACTTTTATTTATCTTTTGGCATTTATTAATATTTTCTGTATTTTTTGGTGTAATTTATAAAAGCATTGAAAATAATTTAAATTTATAATAGTGTACATGTGTGTTATTTTAACCTAAAATGTACATGGATTTTTTGTGTTTTGGAAGGAAAACGGGGGGATGATCATCTAGCAATGGTGAAAAGGGGTGCATAGTGCAAGAAAGGTTGAAAATCAGTGTTATAGAATGTATATAAGTAATTAGTATCGAATATGAACCGTTTACCTGAAGAATTAAGTTAATAGTTAAAAAGTTTTAAAAAGTTAAAAAGTTTGCTTATTTTTTCAGTTTCAGCAACTACAATCAATTAAATGAAAAAGGTTATATATAGCTTTTCTGTCATATTCGCATTTAGTAGGACACACATTTAGTTCAAATACGCTTTTTAATTATGACTGAAGATATTTGTGCTACATATTCATAAATCTTATCAACAGAATCTCAATATTTAGTTACCAAGTTATTAAAATTAATTAAATCGATTTTTAAGATTCTCTTTCAAAGATTAAAAAAAACCAAAATTCTTCAAAATTTGTATGTATACTATAGGCAATGTTTGAAATTAGATGTTGTATAGAATGCCCAAAATCGGACATCAAAATATGAAATGAATAATATTTCACAAGCGTTCTATGCAATGCCACATGACAAGCCGGCAAAATACAAAGTACACCTAGTAATGACGTTTCTAATATCATGGAGCAAGGGACATGAAGATTACCTCAGAGAATTCTCTATTTACATTTAATTTTTTGCTGGGAAATAACGAAATATGTTACTTTCAATGTATTCAGCAAAGAGCACATACAGACTAGCTGTATGATAATGGAAGATCAGGATATAATACTCGAAAAGGAATGATGACATGTTGATATGCAACGACATTTCTATGATGAACTATCTAAAATGCAAGCAAAAGTTGGAGGAGGAGGGAACCATGTTTTCTTAATCGAATCTACTTACCAAAACGTAGTAAGCGATACGAAAATTTCTTGTTTGTCTCAAAAAGAAAGTCCTATACTTAAGTTTGTATTTCTTCCACTTTCAAATACACCTTTTCTATAAAAATCTTTGGATGACTCTCTTTACTTTTAGTATTAGAATAATTAGGATATTTGGTGAATTGCCCCCAAACGGCAGGTATTATATAAAACATCTTTTTTTCATACACTGTCAATAACATATACTTAAAATAAAAAAAATAATATTTCTCTTTTTTGTTTATAAAATACAAAACTCAAACGAAAGATTTGAAATAAAGGTGATACTGCATAAAACTTGAAATATATATAATTCAGAAGTTTCCTAAATGTTACCAAGTAGATATACTGCGAGCTGTAGGTTAAAGCAAATCCTATTTTTATAAATGCAATCGTATCAGTAATTACCTGTATGCTACAAATAGCATCTACGTGACCACTGAGTGTTGTAATAAGGGAAGCAGAATGTATGTCAAACACATGACACTTCCCGTCTGCACATCCAACCACACATCTACAATTATCATGTCCGAAACAGACAGCTGTCACTAGTGATCCGATTCCTTGAAGGCAATGGACTTCAGATCCAGTAGTTAGTGAGCGGACGTGCAGTGTTTGATCATCGCAAGCCAGAACAAGAAAAGTGCTGTCCCGACTGATGTCCATACGAGAAATGGATGACGTTAAGCCAATTGTGTTGAGGAGAGTATAATCCTCCAGACTCCATACACAAACTGTCTTATCACTGGAGCCTGAAAAATATTTTAAAGTAAACTTTAGTAACATCGATGGTATGTTATAATAATATCTAGCAACTAAGGCAAAACTAAGTAAGTTTCTGTATATTTCTGCTAGCAATTTTGTGCTACATTGATGCCTTTCGTATCCCTTTTCTACGTTTCCAAAAATAAAGTATACGTGGAAAACATAAAATAGGTTTTTAGCTTTACGATTCTAAATGTTTTCATCTCCCAATTTTAACAGTCATTAGATAAACTGTGCTTGACTGTAATTAGAAAAAATTCTTCTTCCTGTTTAAGGCTACTAAATGTTCACTTTGCATCCACAGTTTACATACTTAACTGCATAAATAAAATATCATGCAATCATATTTGTGTTAACCTACATTGCAACTTACGTCGTCACAAACCTGGAGAAGAATTATACTAACTTTCCCACTGAATTCAAAAATGGATAAAATGGAAAATGTTCTTACGGATATGACACTATCTAAATGAGTGTGGGTTATTTAGATAAAGTGCATTCTCCACAATAAAAATGCACATCCAATCAAAAAAAATTTGATTAGGCAAGAACTGAATGCTGTCAATAACGATGAGGTACTTCGAATAAAGTATGACTTTGAGGGGTTACACGAGAAAACATTGCAGCAAAAACATCGTGGACAAAAACGCCGCTAATGACAACGCAAGGCGAAAACGTCGTCGTACATTTACAACTTTTAAAGCCTGAAAAACGTATGTCTGCGATATGTCATGCGATGATTTGTAGGTGCTTTATTCTTTACCACGATATTTTCGACTTTTTTAAACTTTTAAACCACTTTATTTCTGATGACGATGTTTTGTACCACCATATTTTAGAATCGCGATGTTTTCTCCTTCTTTCGTTTTTCTCCTACAATGTTTTGTACGATGATGTTTTCGCCTTGCGTCGTTTTCTCCGCGACGTTTCCCGCCACGATGTTTTCGGCGGACATCCTTTGAAGAACGCAAGTCTGAATTTCAAAAAATTTCTGATAAAAATATAACATCCACATAATTGCCTTAAAACTAAATGCTTTGTAATGAAAGAACTTGACACAGTTATAACATACGTAAGAAATCCTAAGGTACTTTATTGGTCTTGGTGTATTTATATGGCAAAGCACACGAGGGCTATCTGCCTAACGGGAGGGATGCCTTCGTGGAGGACCTTCTAAGGGAAACTGGCTCGCATACACGTTACACACGAGGAAAACCACGAAAACGCCCATGCAGCCAACCCGTTCGCGGGATTCGAACCTCGGACCGAACTACCAGTGTTCAGCGACTTTACCGCTCGGCCGCTGGTGGGCCGGTACTTTATTGAATTAAGTTGATGTTACCAATACCTTAAGATATTTCAGTGTGTACCAACAGAAAAAGGGATTCACATCGACATTTGGACAGTGACTTGGAAGATTTTGTTGAAAAATATTGTTCTATAATGCAATGCGATTAAATGTATTAAAATATTGCCTTAACAATCTCTAAAGCTACTTACTTATTTTAAGATCATGGAAATATAAGAATAATTTTTACTATATTTACAAAGAGTGCTTGTATATTTACCAGTTGAAGAATACCTTTTTAACATAAAACACGACTGCAGTATATTCATTTAACTACAAATTCTTCTGCAAAGAGTTCTTATTAATTGTAATTTGCAGTTTAGCAAAAGGTGAGAAATGCTTTCGAATTCTCATAAAATGCAATCGCTGTGCAACTGTTTTACAAACATTTTTGGAACATTACGTTACATATGATAGCACAAATACATTATTTCTGAATTATTCGATCCATAACTTATGCCATTCGTCTAAACTAGTGCTTCCCAACTGAGTGCTGTGAACGGACTAGAAGTGTGTCTCAAAAATTAACCTCAAAGCTCTGATTATCAGGCAACAGCGCCGAAGGCTAGGCTGAAAGTTATCAATCAGTACTTTCATACAAATCAATTTCATCGAAAAGGTACGTAAATTTAGGCACTGATGGTGAGGCTACAATGACAAGATGGGTCATCGTCCTTGACTTCCAACATTCCGTCTGGAAATCTTTATGTTAAAATGATACTTTGCTTTCCTTATATTAAAGCTCTCATATCAAATAATTTACTTCTAGAATTAAAGCTACGTTTAATGACATTATAAAAATGGTGAATGTGGTCGAACGTAGACCACATCAATAGCATGTTTATTCAGTTTTATGTAATGAAAGAGATCATAACATCAATCCTTCTTATTAAGAACTAAAATTTGTTGGCTGTCGAGAGGGAAAGTTCTGTCTAAAGTTCATAAGCTGAAAGAAGAATAAAAATTTTATTTGCTTACTATGCGGCTAAGTTGAAAGATAGATACTGGTTGCAAAAATGGCCTATTTAGCTGACATAACGGAATACCTAAATGGGCTTCGCCGAAAAATGCAGGGACCATTTGATGCACTTCTAAAACAAAATAAACTTTGAAAAGATGTGTTGAAAAATGGCTCCTTTAAAATCTTTAATTGGCATTGTAATACTGTTGCATTACTGTACAGGTTCGTGCATTTGGGGTGATTAATGGCAACAGTTAATGAAGAATGAAGGCACAATTTAGTAGCCAGTATTGCTCAGGACAGCTCGAAAACACGTTTACAGACGTCGAAAAACTATGACAAACACGCTGAAACAATGAGAAACACAGCTGTCAGGCTATCAGGCTATAACGGTGAAGACAGCTTCACGGCAAAGCACCCGAGTACAGCTTCCGACTTGGTTCGATCGTTCTCGGAACTCGACGTACTCTAAAGATTCTCCATGCTACAACTCGCGATGCATTCGACGATACACTCGATAGCCTCAACAATGCACGCTCTCGATGCACCAACTCGCGATAGACTGACAAGACACCTCGACACTAGACTGAAGATCAACTCGATAGACTACGAGACACTCGACAGACTCGCAATCGACTCGACAGACTACAATACTCCGCGTACCAGCAGGGTTTATATAGGTTTTGGGCTACCTTCGAGAAAATTCTGGGCCAAAGCGTTAAAAATTCGTTCTAGAATGTTTTCCATCCGTCCATGACATATCGCCAATTTTGTCGCTAAATGGGTGATTTCGCGAAAGATATGGCTACACTGCTTTCAGTGGGAACTTTCTGGCAAACCTAAGCCCGGCTTGCGGGGAATCTATCTTACCGCAGCTGGACATTTCGAAACAATAAGAAATAAAAAAAAGACTACGATAACTTGTTATCCAATATTTGCGCACACTTGAGAAAAAGCTTCATCATTTCCTTGAATTAATGAAGAAAGTCGACTGGGTTCAAAATCCATGTTCATCTTCATTTGGTCACGTGGAATTCGATTTATATGAAAGAAAAGGGTGAGTTATTGAACATAAAAAGTGATCGCATCCTTATCTCAGTTCTGGGTAATTGCAAAAACGGAGGTTTTATCCATTGGTGAAAATTTATAAACATTGTTTTACCATTTTGAACAATATAAATGCGTGAACAAAGTTTCTACGCTATCAAGAAATAAAGATCATCACTCAAAAGTTTTGATCAAGAATTGCATTTTGCTCTTTTGGCCATAGACCAAGATATAAAAATGTTTTCCTCGGGCAAGCAATAAAAACATAATACAGGTACAACTCTGGCAAAAGAAAACTGTATATATTTATATTAATGCTTAAAATGATATTTTTTCATTAAATTATTATTTCTATTAAATGTAATATATTTATACATAGACAGTAACTCTTTTGTGTTCAGTTTATATTACTTCTGTATTTTCACATCACAGTTTAATAACGTAAGCGTTCTATAAATTTAATTACAGTTTCACGCGTTCAAATATAACAATTTACTTCATAAATGCGATATAATAATTATGTCAAATATAACTAAGGATGTATGAATTAGTTTTTTTCATTCCATTGTTATGTTTGTTCACTTCATGAAGATTGAAATGAATCGCTAGCTGGAATGTTTATGAATCATAACGCAAAGATATTTGAAAGAAACATCTTATTAATTGAATCCCTAGTATTTAATATAAGAAATTAATCACGTAATGCAAAAAAAAAAAAAAAAAATTTCTCTGCAGTGTTTCGTGACATTAGGTGAGGTGTGCCATGACTTCGAAAAATGATTCTCGAAAACAAATGAAAAATGTTTAATGCACAATAACAATCATTAAGAATTCATGAAACGTACGACTAATTAACAGAAATGATGTTAAAATTAATAGGAGTAATGATTCATATCCACATTTAATAATCATATGAATAAATATATGAAAGCGAAGCTAAATAATGTAAAGAAATAAATGAGTGTAATTAATAACACATATTTACCAGTTGCAAATATATCATCACCACTGTTTACTGCGATGGTACTGATAAGTCCCCGATGTTTTTCGAGACGTTGGACTACTTGCCCGGTGTCTAGACTTGCCACGATGACAACTCCGATCTCTGATCCACTCAAGACTAAGGTTTCGGAATGGGTGGAAGTGACACATAGTACTCCTGAGATATGATTGCTGCAAACAGCCATGAAATACGAATATATTACAAGAACCTAATTACCTAAATAAGGATCATATATTACAGACACATATTGTCGCGATCATCCTACGTTATAATATTATAGATATAGGACAATGCTTGAACTTGATAACTGACTTGTTTAAATTAGAGTAGATTCAATAAAAAACAGGATCGTAAGGAGCATGATAAAGATTTGAATTTTTATCTCACATGCATTAAGGCATTTCAATGAATTCCGCCTTTATTTTTATAGATAATCAGTTGTGGTCAGAGTCGATGTAATTCAACATAAACTTTTATAGATAATCAGTTGTGGTCAGAGTCGATGATTTGATTGAAATTGATTCCTATAACATATGTATACCTGGGTTTCTTTGGAAAAAGTCCGCGAATAAGTCAGTTTTATGTGTAACGGTTTCTAACTTGCGAATAATTCTCATATCTTCATCCCGAAAAAAGAAGGTCGCGAATGTTTCGTATAGAAAGTTTTGTATTTTAGTACTTTTGTTTAAAATTCGTATACCCGACCCAACAGTCATTAGGCTTTCATATCCACGGATAGCAAAACACAAGATCTCCTGCCGTGAAGTAAAAGCCCCGATAAGATTAAGCCTATATATAAGGCGATATTTGTGCAACTTACACAAATAATAATGTAATGAATAAACGAAAATTAAAATTACGTACTGCATGACGCAAAACATAAACACGGTGTTAAAAACAGTTACTGTGTATTGCACGGTACAGTTATAGGTTACTACGTTTTTGTCTCCTTTATAAGGTTCCAACCTATAATTTACAGCTATGTGCGCGTAAAGTTTTACAAATGGCCCTTTCTCAGGACGTACAGAACAGCTTCCACTTGAGCTTGAACTCAAGAGTACTAAGAAAATCAAACTTAACTAATGCTTAACTAAAACGATATAGCAGAAGCTATCAAAATTTTACAGGAGTTGGCTTATATGATAACGAAAAAAATATTACACGGTGCCATATAATGTGAATACAGAGCTTTCGAAGCCGTATATTGAAGGCCCAAATTTATGAACAACAAGAGCATCGTAAACAGGTGCATTCTGGTGTGCAAAACCCATGAATTATCACTATTATTGAAGTGGGTTTCTACAAATTTATTAATGCGAACGCCGCAAAGCATACAAATAATATTATTTGCTCGCAGTTTAGACCATTGGTAGAATTTCAGGATGCTACACATCACGCCAAGTTAAGAAAAGAATGTTGTTTTCAAAATTGATATTACAGTAAAATGTTTTTTAAAAACATAATGTTAAAAAGTGACATCATATTTTAACTCGTTTTTATTTTAATAACTAAATTAAAACATAAATGTTTTACATTAAAATAATGTTACAATCATGCTGTCCGGTAACTTAAAAATAATACTGAAATTTTCGTAATTTCAGTATTATTTTTAATACTGTATACAATAATATACAAATAAACGAACTATCAAACAGCGAAGGAAAATAATTAATGTAATATTGCATCTTTCTACGCAAATGGGATTTGATTTAAAAATACCTTTCTCTAAAATATACTTGATGTATTTCTTAATTATACGATTTATAATTAATGAAATTAAACTCTTTATACATATATTTCTAAAAAAAGGTTAAAAATAAGCTTGTCAAAGTTCATAAAATTACCTCATTCTATGCTTTATTTGGCCAGAATCCATGTGCCAGACCAAGACATCCGTGTCTTCAGATCCACTTATTAACCATTGACCGGAAGATGTTACATGAAGAGATGTAATTGATGCCTTGTGACCTAAAAATGTAACTTAATTTAATTTCCAATATTTGATTATAATATATGAAAGTTGTTAGATATTACATGGACATTAAATCATTGGAAGAACCCATAACTAATATTTCAGTGCAATTGTTACTTAATATGGAAAACACATTTATTTTACGAAATATGAAAAACCTGAATTTGAGAAAAGGCAATTATTTCTAAACTGCATACATACTAAGAATGTGAACATGATTTAGAACATTTAATAAATTCCATTATTTTAAAATTATCTTCAAAAGATGATTTTAATTATCATTTGCATAAATACCGTAATTTCTTATACATACATGTAATGATAGCACAATTTTGGAAGCACTGATGCAAAAACACTGAGACGTAGAAGGGTGGCAGTGTTGTTTAGCGTAGATACTTGATCCATATTAACGGCGAACAAGTCGAGCCGGATTAATTTTCTTTTTTCATTTAAATTTATATTTGTGGCCACAATTAACTTGGCACTCCAATCGTGCCTATTTCCAGAACAATTCTGATACTATAGCGATAGAAACGAACATAAATGATTGCAGCAGCGTCTTAACAGGATGAAAGCGCAAGTGAAAATGGAAGAGTGTCGCGGTACTTCAAAGGAAGAAGGGAGGGAGTCAAAAGTTTCAGTTCCGATTTAGAAAAAGTTTTTGGTTTACAATTATTTGATTGGGCAAGAATCTGCGCTAAGCGTTACGTAGGATCGCATGATTAATTTGAATGACGCAGTTTAGACTTATAGCGCTATTTTTAATACAGAAAGATGAAGCCCCCAAATTGAATAAAAATAAAAGAGGTTATAGCCAATTAAATTTAGAAGTTTGCTTTCATATTTTTTAATCTTAGATAATTACCTACATTATTCTTTTAATATAAGATCATTATACGCTAATAATGTAATAATAATTCTACGCTAAAATTATTAATTAAAATTGTTCATAATGTGAAGAAGCAGAAACTGATATAATTATAGATAAATGAAGAAAAATTTTGTTAGTTATGTAATGATCATTTAATATGTTATCGAAAAGAAAGGCTCTGATTTCGTCATTCTTTGATCTATTTGTTTTAAAGTAAATATAAGAAGCGACTATGAATAATATTTAATCCTTTGATTGCGAAAAAAAAATCACCGATACGTATGACCTATAAATTAGCTATTATTAGATCATACTAGTTAACTAATATGCTGACTAAGTTGTTAAAAAATTCTGTATGACATTCTATATTTCTATGACCTATGTTAATTGGTCATTTAAGGTCTATGACCTATGTTAATTGCTCATTTAATTGGTCTACGAGGTGCATTTAAGTTCTAATTTAAGTTTTTAATTTTTCCTCACGAATGGAAGTATGTAGAAGTATGAGAGTAGTTTTAACGTTTTGAGTGAGTAATGGCTAAACTATCCGGCTAAAGGAAATCTCGTTTTCTCCATTTGCAGGGAATGAAAATCATTGAAAATCATCGTCAACTGAGCGAAACTTTTGGTAATGGTGCGCGGACATGAAAAATGTACAGTCGTTAGTAAAGCAACTCATGGCTGAACATCGAATAAAAGCAAACCAAAAGAACCTCAGAAATGCAACAGTCTGCCAAAAACATAATTACGCAAATAGAACAACAAAGGGTAATAAGATGTCTTCGGCTGACTAATCCAGTGACAACTTGCAGTCTAATTGGGGATGAAATCTACTTAATATTACTGCATATTAGGTGTCCTTCGCATATCTGTCGAGTTAAAACTACAAATGAAACGGTCTGAAAAGCCTGCAGAAAGTTGCCTTGAGGAAACCTGGAAAGTTGGCTTCTATTATAAATTATTTCTCCCGCCTTCTTAGCAGGCCTTCGTGATGTAGTGGTCAGCCCACTTTGCGCGTATTCGAGAGGTCCGTGGTTCGAGTCCCTGCGACGGCATTGCTCATTTTTCATGTCTCCTGCTTTAAAATATACCTAATGTCTACACCTAATGTCTTAAGTCATCTAATTCCCTTACTCATCTGAGGACTCGTGGTAACAGAACTTACTCACGGCAGTTTCGTACTCATCCAACAATGCACGCAGTAATATTCGGCTTTCCTAACACTTAAAGGCACTCTTTGATTCCGAGCTTTCAGATCGTTTCTCTCTTGCATCAGAATCTTTCAAATGGGCAAAATGGATAACTAAAGAATCGATACGAAAAACGTTAGGGTGACAATATTAAGAAATAACAGTAATTCAGCTTTGTATAATGAATAATTGTTTCAAAAATAATTATAACATCTTAGAATTAGAAAGCATCTCATTTAATTTATGAAAGTTAAAGAACAGTGTAAAGGAAGCGTTGAATTGTGCAGGCGAAATAATAAAATTTCTAATAGTTTGTATCAACAGCATTAAATACTGAATGGAGTAATAAATTTACAAAATAATAAGAAAAACTCAATTTATTTATGCGTATTAGTAAACCAATACTAAATTATACATAAAACAGGAATATCTAACCTTTAAAGGACCGAACGTGGTTCTTAGAAGGTATATGGAACATGCTGATTTCTTTCAAGTCTGAAGCACACACCACATGCTGACTGTCTGGTGTCGTTACCATGTGGGTTATGGCTTGAGGAACTGTCAATACTGTTACTTGAGGTGGTAAACTGAGCGTCAACCATGTATTTGTAGGAATCAATCTAGGCTGCTTGCAACGATTGCAGAATTTGAGTGCGTTTGTGACTAGACTCTTTATACATTTGGAACCCGCAAGCTCTAGAAGACATTTGCATAGATAATAATTCACAATATGACATTTATCACATGTAAGTTAACCATGATTATATTATTAAATATCCTACTTTTCTTTCATTAATTATAATTCACGTTGAACTTACACTCCATATTTTTAACATCTGATTCCTATTACAAAACTTTAGATAAAACCGCCTTTTATAACGTTTTAACTTATTTGAAAATTCTTTTCCTTTCTTTCTCTCCCTTTTTTTTTTTTTTTTTTTTGGTATTGCTGCATTATTTATTTTCACATACTTTTCTAATACCGTCTTTTAATATCCCAATGAACAAGTAATATAAAAAAAGTCAATTTCTACTTAAGTCACAAAGAAAAAATTTAAAAAATAAATAAATAAAATAAAAAAAAAAAAGAGTTTTTTCACATATTCAAAATGTTTTAAAAAAATTTTTAATATGTGAAAAAACTCTATTAACCTCAAGTGTCAGCCACTACAAGTTTAAAAATGTATTTAACTTGATAAATAAAAATTATTTTATTAACGATTAAAATTTAATTATATTAAACTAATTAACAATTTTTTAAATTCAATTCCTACTTAGGTCAACAAAGAAAAATTTTTTTAAATTAAAAAAAAAATTAATATGTGAAAAGTTGTATCAACATCAAGTGTCATCCACTACAAGTTTAAAAAAATGTTTTGAACTTGAGTGGATGAATAAAAAGTATTTTATTAACGATTGAAAATTATATTAGTTACGCTTTAGTTTAATGTGTACTAATTTATGCTAAAATATGACGCATACAAGCTTTAGCATAAAAAGAATTTCAAATGGCAGTTCACTATATTTTAATGATTAAATACTTCGAAGAATAATAAGTTTATTGTTATTGTTAAAAATAAAATAATTTTTTCGAATAAAATATTTATTAAAAGTTACCCAAATAATGCTTCTCTTTCTGAATTATTTTGAGTGAGAAATATGCTAGAATTTGAGCGCTTCGAAACAATTGACATTAATAATACAAATCATCATTACAAATTTCAGTAATATCTGACGTTAAAATGTCAGGTGTTATCATTGTCATTAAAAAAGAATTTTATACAGCTAAAAACTGTTTGATAGTCATCATTCAGTTGAATTTAAAATAAAAGTTTGAGATTCTGAACGGTTTTCGCGATTTTATAGAAGAATAGAAGTAGGAAATATTAATTAAATGCATTTTAAATTTTAAAACTGAACTTAAATAGGGAACATGTAAAAATTGCATTTCTGACTCACCGGAAAATGGCTTCAGCCAGTTGAGCAGTTCAGTTGTAAGCTGTGTGGGATCTTGGCTTAAAATATCCACAGCTTGTTTTGTCACAGCAGATAATACTTCAGTTTCCCAGTCCAAGATCTTTATTAAGAATAAATGAAATTATTATAACAATCAAATTATAATAATGTGAGAAAATAAATTACCATTTTTAATTTTCAAGACTACTCCGAATCTAACTGAAAAAGAACTGCGTATATATGAAATTTAAAACTGGAAAAGCAAGCCTATTAGGACAGAAATATATGTTCTTGAAATAGCCAAAAACATAGGCTAGGATAAATTTGCTTTTATCCTAATCTTAAACTATTCTACATTTAAAAAAATTACATCTCTAGCGGGGTGAAATAAAATAATAATTGATTAAAACACGTATTAGGTCTTTCCAATATGGTGTATGAAAGCGACAGTGATTTGCATGGCTGTTGTGAAATGTTATGAAAATAATTTTTAAAAAAGCAGTTGTAAGCATCCTAAAAGTAGTATAAATAAAACAGAACTTGTGAATAAGTTATTTTTGATAATATAAAAACTGAGTTCTTGTACAGGATGTTTAAAAATTCTTTCAGTAATATTTTATACGCAAAATAGGGCAGATATTAGACTTATTTATAGTCCTCCAAAAAAGAAAATATGGAAGATATTTCATATAATATTAGTTGCTGTAGAAACTGAACAGCAGACGATCGGATGTGATAGTGGAAGCTACACATATTTGTTAAAATGTCTGATGAGAACATCAAAGTTCTTTTATCAAGATTATTTTCCTTTTTTATTTAAAACGAAGTCCAAGTTTTCTTGTGCTTTATTTTAAGGGCTACATTAAAGAGAATTTTGTGTTCTCTCACTCATCTAATTCACTGTTATGCCCACAAAATGAAATTCTGGGAAATCTATGGCACAATTTGGGTTACTGTGCAGACATTTATAAAGTCCCATAGAGTTCTGTATTGAGTGCTTAGGAGATAATATAAGGAGATGTGCCAAAACTTTAGATATATTTGTTTTCAGAACAGCATCAGAATGATTCTGATATTAACATAAATATCTTCTTCGTTTGTAAACTATAAAACGTATTCGTCAGATTTATAACCTCCTCATTTTTCATTGACAAATGACATTTTATGTCTTACAATAATTTTGTCCTATGCTTCATAAGTATTAGTATTTTTAGCATCGTTTAAACACAGTCTTGAGGATATTTTAGAGAAGTTTAAAAAATTAGACACTTTGAGAGAAGTAGCGACTTAACGGAATTAGAAAATCAGACATTTTTAGGGAAGTTAAAACAATGAGAGTTTACAAAGTGATTTCCACTTCCAAACATTTGTGACCAAATACTATTAAGAAAATTTAGAGTGCCATTCGAAAGAACTTTATAAAGAGATTTGTGAACTTTTGTACCGGAAAAGTTTTGTAATAGATGTAGGTATTTGAATGGAACGGCAAATGATAATGAGGTTGAATGAAAAACTATATGCCAATGTTTACAGATGCGGCAATTTTGATGGATGATAATGGAAAATAAAGAGAAAAATAAACATTCGGCATTAAGAGAAAACCAGCTCAGTTTTGTGTATATCTACAGTGTCTGCATGGAATAAATTCGGAAGATTCCTTCAGTCGTACTGTGTTACACGCACGCCACATACACACTCACAACGTTATATAAACAGTCAACACACGTAGCCTTCTTATTTCACACGAAATAGAATTTCAGGCGAAATTATAAGTGCTCAAAATGTATACATAAGTGCCTACACATGACTCCTTTAAAATGCAAAGCAAATTTAAGAAGGCTAGGAAATTACTTTGCATTTTCGTAAAAGATATATTCTATAATATACACTCACGTCCATAAATTAAGGATAATTCAGAATCACACGGAAATCGAACACTAAAAAAATTTTTTACTTGTAGAAATATTTCACATTTCTTGAAAAGCCATCAGGTGACGCCGATAGAACGTCTTAATGACGAAAATTTCCCGAGTTAGATACAGAAAAGTTTAAACAAGCCCCTATTCTAACTAAAGAAATATACTTACATGGCATTTAACGAGCTCGATCATACTTCTTACGTAGCTTATGGAAGCCCCACTTACAGCGCATTGTAAAAAATCGAAGTTACATATGGCATCTTGCTTGAGTTTTCCACTATCACCTGTAACACAAGTGGTATACAGTTTCAAAAATTTTTCATTTACTAACATTTAATTTTTTAATAATATTAGCAAGACCAATTATACGAACAACCAGCTTTAGAATTTTTTTTTACTTTTAATTTCATCATCCACGTTCAGCCTTCGATTCGCTTACAGTAAGAAAGTTGCTAGCTGTTGGAATGACAGATTTCTTTTCCCTGCTGGAATATTTTCGATATTTTCGTTAGAATGATATTTTTTGAAAGTATTCTTTTCGGTACTTACTACACCAGCGACTATTTTCGGCAAACATTTTCGATCCGCTGCCAGAGAAGTACTTTCGCCAAAGAATGCAAATTAGCGGCAATAATGGATTAACGTGCTGTTGCAACATACTCATAAAATCTTTTGTCATTTTTTTAATGTGACCTTGATTAATCTTCAATAAGCTAGTTTAGTTTCGGAAAAGAATAAGGTTATAAGTTAACTATAAGTTGATTGGGGTGCGTTTTAATAATAGTGTTTGTCAGACATGCGTTTTAATAATAGTGCTTGTTAGACAATCTCAAGGCTTAAGCTCATATTTATTTAAATTTTTATGTGCTATATGAGTAACTTGCATTCAGTGTTGATTATTAAACTAAAAGAGAAAGGGGGGAAATAAAAGAACGACCTGCTTTTTTTTTATTTCCGTTGAAAGGTTATTGAAGACTTCCAGCTTGTATGGTAGACGGGACCATCTTTTCCTTCCTTAATTCCTGATTGCCACTGAGTCGTATAAGCAACCTTTTACACAAATGATCCGTTTGACACTAAACCAGAGTAATCCACACTAGAGTTGGACAAAACACGCTTCTGTGAGATGAGATCAGAGTCATTCACTCAATGAACTAATTAATGATTTTAGACTCACCGCTCACTACCAACAGCGTTGATGAATAAGATCCAGAATGAGGAGTGAATCAAGAGCAAAGTGAGACAATCCAGCGAAGAGCGGGAAGAATCAAACGAGTAATAGGATCAGAAGAGTTGATTCAATCTAACTGCTGACTCTCTTGATTGAAACGCAATTATAGTTTTCAGATTCCTAAACTTTCCTTTCTACATAGAACAATAAAATTCTAGACTGAAAAAAAAACAGTTCAGAAAGTTGGGAAATGAAAAAAACTGAACTCTCTTTTAACATGGCAGAAAAAAAGAAATGTTTTCGCTCTAAAGTAATTCATTTTTTTGAATCATTTCGAAAATAAATTCTCCCTTGTAGCGTACACTACAGTTTGTTTTTTATACATGAGCACGATGATGAAGTCTGTTGATTAATCCGTCATAAATCTACGTATTTTAAATTTTAATATTAATGAAAAACAAAAGAAATGAGCAACAAGAGTTTGCTGGTGTTTGTCATATATATATATTGTACAACGGGCTTTCAAAATACATGATTTAAATTTGAAAGAAATAAATTGCAATCTGGAAATTCTAAGTTACATTCAAAAATGTTGAACAGTTGACATTTAATGTTTCAAAAAGGTAAATAAATAAATAAAGCAGTAAAACTAAAGATTGAAAGCAAACTGCTGTCTGAGCCTGATAACGCAGATTTTA